ATAAAATTATTGCATTGCATTTTTTATTTTAAACTAAAAAAATAGTTAATTCAAAAGACTTAACTATATTTTATGTTATAAAAATAACATTTTGAAACCTTTTAAATGCATCATTTTACGTGAATCGCCAAAAGTTGCAGATTCTGCTCGGTTTCAGTTGCCAATCTGCCGTTAGAGTATGCGTGCGCAGATTTTGTTCTGCCGACAATCTGACGTCAAGTCATGTTAGCAGATCTTGCTCGGTTTGTGCAGCCAATCTGCTGTCAGATTTTGTGAGCAAGATCTGCTCGATTTTTGGCACCAATTTGTAGACTTAATCAATAATAACAACTTCTGTATCAGATTTGTAGCCTTTTTGTTGACAACAGGTGATAGCAGACACTTGCATGATCTGCTTTTGACAGACTTGGCTATCTGGGTGGGTATGTGCTAACAGTTTTAGCAGCATCAACGCATGTTTCCGTATTGTAGCGTTTCTGCACACAATTTCTGTTGTCAAGGTCTGCACAGTCAGAAATTGTATATATATATTTCCATATATGTTAGTGAAATTGACAACAAATAGATGGTCAATTGCAATCAGATCTGCTTTTAGCAATATTGTGACCAAACACTCCCAAACACTGTACGAGCATCTGTTTATGACAAAACGTTGACCGCAGTCGGGTCGATCTGTTGAACGCATTGACAACAGATTACCAGCAAACGCCAAGCAGATCTGTTTGTGCATACGTGCGGACTGTTTGCACGCAAGACTACTAGACTACTTGTTTGACATCTAGACAACAAAATAGCGATTATATGCGATCGTATCTATTGCCTGTGTTGATAATAAATTGTTAACAGACACTGAGAATAGTCTTTTATAGTTAGGTCTTGTTGATGCGGGCAATAACTGTTAACTTATGCCGGAACCGGTAAATAGTTGACCGGAACCGGTCAACTATAAGATTTTAATACTTCTGTTTATACGCATTCAACAATAAAGCAATCATAAATGTAATGTATTATTCTCATATTTATTGAGTAATATGAAACAATGGGTGCTTTCCAGCTACGTACAGTCGACACTGTGTAACACAATGTCCACTCCCAGATAGCACAAGATGTTTTATAGACGTTCGTTCTATGTCCATTTTATGGTCGCACGTCCGCGGACATGAATTAGACGTCCATAGTATGTCCGATTTCGGATGTCCTTTAATAACCAATATTTGAATGTCCATAGAATATTTGCTCTTCAGCCTATCTGCAGTAATCTTATTTTCATATTTCTACAAATTTATAAAAATTATGAAGTGACTCTCACACATCTATAAAAAGTGTTACATATTAAAAAAAAGTAATTGTATATAATGTTAACTAATTATGACTGACAGATATATTGTACCAAAAAAATTCTTTATGTATCTATCACGTGTACGATCTTGAAATAAGAATGAACGAGTTCGGAAAGCACGCTCTCAGCTCTGTTGCATTCTAATTTTGTTTGTGTCAAATGAACTATAAAGATAAAATGATGAGATACTTATATAGCACGTAATATTACGAAAATATCACAGTAACATTGCAATATACTAGTAATATTAGATATTATAATACAATATTACAATAATATTGATAAACTACATTTATATAATACTGAAATATTACTATAATATTGTATTGCATCCCAAGTAGCAAGATTATATATAAATATGTTTTTATTATATCTTATGAACCGTAGAGATGTCATTTACTATTTGGCAACTTGCATACATCGCATTGTATCTTAATTATATATAATATGATACATATATCTTTTGCTACATCGTTGCAAAAATCCTCTAATTTTTGTTTGAAACATAAACGCTTTGTTTTTAAAATGTATTATATCGACAAAAACTTTGTGTGTATAACATTTTTACTATATAATTATTATTATTATATAATAACAATGATACACATAAATGTGTATACATATTGCCATGTATTTTATTTGCTATATATATATATATATATATATTAAGAATTGACTCTAATAATCAGTATATGTTAACAAAAAATTTATTTGCGTTGTGAAAAATATTTTAAATTATATTTAATAATAATAAAAAACACTATTTTTATCTGTTGGTACAGGTACATTGCTCTGCACTATTTTTAATAAAATAATAATTTAAGTAATAAATAAAGTTTGTAGGATAGTTTGAGAATAAGTAGATAAAAATAATTACATTTTAGAAAGGAACAAGATCTTACGGACTGAGTGCAAGGGCTGCAAGGTCTCGAGTATGGAGGTCTCGAGTTCAAATCTTACTATCACCTTAGGATTTTTTCCGGGATTGGGTATGTTTAATCAAGTTAATCAGTTAATTGGTAACCTGAATCAGGCTTTCAAAAGTTAAGTCAAGTGAAATTTCGAGTTAATTCCTTTTCCACAAGACGATGTGCCATTAGTTTTTTTTTTTTTTCCTATATATCA